ACAAGAAGGACTTGCGTGTGTTACTACCTGCCACACTGCTAAACGGTGGGGGAACCTGGACCTGAAGATTGCTTCCGGACTCCTATCTATGTACTTATGCCCTAGTTAATGTGTGGAATTTCGCTGTCAACAGATTGAATTTATCGCCGACAGGGAAACAAGATTTAACCTTTTTTTCTCTAATGACGCCACCTAGGGAATAAAGTTCAAAAATATAGAGGCACGAAAGAGAATTTGCTTACTCATCTGCCTCATAGCCCTGGTTTTGTGCCAAATGGTCAGCATCTACACTTATTTCGCTTTTTAACCCGCTAAAATGCCCCCGAATTTTTCCTTCGATCAGGCTCCTGGACTTTTACGCGGGGTTTAGTTATAAATGATGTGGAAATATTCAATTAAATATGTAAATATTAGCGATGCAATTATGTGGACAAATGGAGCAGAGAAAGCAAAATATTGGAAGATAAATGTAGCCAAGTAATGAAGAGATCTTGAGATTTATTAGAGAACGTTTTAAAAGGAATAAAAATTTGAGAAAGTAAGAAATGAAAATATCAGATTAGGTTTAAACCTTGACTCAGAACTCGTGTTGAAATACTATACGGGAAACAATGTGAGAAGTGTACAGGATGAAAAACAAATAAGTAATAAAATGAGAAATATTGTTATATTTTTGGGTACATGAAATGAAAACCAATTACTACATATTTATTATAGTTGTATTGAGATGGAAAAATACTGACCAAATACAAAATCATGATGAAAAACAACGTCGTTCCATTTATACTGTCACTGTCGGCATCTGGCTGAAAATATTGTTTTTTCTGTAATTCCACTCCCTGATCCCCCTAAGCGGTTCCTACCCGTGAGCACATTCGACGGGCCTTTTGTGTCAAGCGTTCCAGATATCGTCCAAGATTCGTGAGCAGTATCACCGTCACCGGTATTCCAATGAAACCATAGATAACCGTGAATATCCGGCCATTTGGTGTTCGTGGCTCCACCTTACCGTAACCTGAAGATACGGTATACATACGAATCTGCATGAAAACTTCAGTCATTTGTCATTTTCTGAAACTCTCAACCAAGAGGTCGATCAATCTCTTAGCATTGCACATCCAGAGCCTCTAGGGACGCGTATCGTTTAACTTTTGGCCGCTGCCCGATGCCGTCCATCTCTGATAACCCGCAAAATTGGCGAATATTTCACTCAATATAAAGCGGCCGGGAGGTTTTTAAAATTGCGACCAACTTTACGGAAATATAGGATCCAAAAGCCCATAAAAGAGGGAATCCTCTCCAACTTGGGGATTTGATGTTTTTTTTTCAGAAATTGGGGATTTGCAAGCAATCGAGAATCAGGTAAAATATGGATCAGCTGAAGATTCTCTGAAATTTGTCCTAAGTGGGAGCAAATACTCCAAAAAAGTTTTTAAGTTTAAACTTACTTTTTCATTGAACTTTATAAGGAAAGCATGTACATTTATACATTATTACGGTAATCTGTTTCATATTATTCCTTTAATTTTCACAAATAACTGGAGCGGTGTAAAAGAAGTCAGGTTGTTCTGCTTTTTTGCACTCTGCATAAACTCAGCCATGAGATTACCTAACTCAATTTGAGTTTTGAAGAGCACGAGAAATTTCAGTTTCTAAATATCCAAATTATGCGAGTCCTGAATCCCCTCTAACAATGTGAAGTTCTCTTACCTAATGTGGTAAGAATCCCAAAACCGTAGAGACTTGCGGTTTTGAAGGACCATTCTAACCGAGGATCTGACCTAGGCTCAGTGAGACACGTCTCGGCGATCACGCGGGCGAAATCGGCTTCCCGTGACACTCGAAGATCGCGGTCCCTGGAAAATAGGTGTGAATACTTCGGCTCACGAAACACTAGAGAAAAGGATTGCGCCGCGTAATGGTTTTCTTCATGGATTATTTATGCTACTCTATTTCTTATTCTTATTTGTTCTGATTCTGTAGAATGACGTATGGAGGAAGAATTTCTCTCTTTATCGGAGAAGTCGAAGTTACCTCCCCCTCCCGAGAAATGCTCATGATTTTTTTTTTCATTCTGGGTGAAATTTGGTAAAATTTGTTAGGGTTCAACTTTATGCTGTAAGGGATGATGTCTGAATGAAGTATTAAATGATCATCAATGCAACTTTTGTATGCGCATGCATTCTAGCGCGCGGTCAGAACCGTAGTAATGGGGTTGAATAGATGTGGTGGCTACACATGGCATAGTAGATAGACACGTTGACGACCGTGTGGTATGATGTCATACCACACCTTTCGGTCACGTGGGACCGTGTGACATGATGTCATGTCACACTCGCGCGGTAAAAATAATGCGCGCGGTCCCACACGCCAGACAGCGAAAAATAGCGGTCGTCAACGTGTTCAAGCTAGTATATAAGGCACAGTGTGCCCCAGTGTCTTTATTTCAGACGAATCTCACACCAACTATCAACCACAAAGATACAAAAAGCGTTTTTTCACGGTCGAGGTTTGTTCCAAAATCCAGCTGCCGGTGGTAAGCGACGCCACTCGCCACAAAACCACATCCGTCAAAATGAATGAGTGGCTGGGTGGAATTTGATCTCACCAAGTGGCTCTATGGGGCTGTGGCTCCTTCTGCCACTATTTTACATCATCGTGCTTCCAAAAATGGCTCCCTTGACTCTGATGTGATGTGTTTTTGTATAGCTGTGAAGCCGTGAGCTTGCTTTTTCAAGATCGCGAGCTGTCGGGAGAGCAAGAGATCTTGCAAGAGACTCCCCTCATAACCATATGTATCACAGCAAACGATGCTCAGACATAATGATGTCCATCCCCCAGGGTAGAGATGGGATCGCATGCTGCAATGGCAAATCATCTTCTTCAAAACACTTCTTCAGGATGTTGGCTGCCAGAGAAATGACGCCAGAACACGAAAACGACGGCTGTCTCTCTGAAACGATCTTATGAGGAGAAATTGCCGCAAAGTTTGCAGGGAGGCCATCTGAAAATTGCGAGAAAAAAGTAGAAAGATGGCCGAATACGAAATTAAGGCATTCCATGTGAGTTCATGGGGCAACTCAGATACTGACTAACCAATCTAGTCAATTCTCACTTGTTCGGTAATTTTATCAGTCATTGCATTGATTATGGTGCTGTCGCAGGATGCGGCGACATCCCCTAAAAGAAGTCCAGGAGGGGCAGGAATTCCGGGGTAAATGAAGATTGCTCACTTACCCCTGAGCATCTTCGCCTTCTTTGAGTATCTTTTTTATGAAATACAGATTTTTTTGCACGGTTTTAAATGCATTACTGCTTTTTTGAAGCCTATAAAATGAGTTCAGGCGATATAAATGGCATTTCATTTGCTCTGTAGATAACTTAGCGTTTGATCTACAGGTTCAAATACAACTAATACACACGGTGTCATAAATAAAAACAAAAAAAAGAAATAAAATTCTAAATTGACTGACCTGGACAAAAGCGTTTCAATGCATTCTTTCTTCGCTAACGTGTCATTCATTTTCACATATTTTGCATAAGCGTGCTCGAAATGAAGGAATATATAACCTCCGATGAGGGTGTAAGCGATAAGAAAGATGACCACAACCGAATTCACTGCTA